CCATGGAAGCCATCAAGAAGAAGATGCAGATGCTGAAACTGGACAAGGAGAACGCCATCGACCGCGCCGAGCAGGCGGAGGCCGACAAGAAGCAGGCGGAGGACCGCGGCAAGCAGGTAGGTGTCCCATGGACCTCCCCCCTGCCCCTCTGCCCCGGCATTGCCAGGGGACCCCCACCTTAAGGGTTTCGAGCCCCGGGAACCCCATCCTGCTGGGTGTCCAGCCTGGGGATCCATCACCCTAGGAGTGTCCAGCCCTGGGGACCATAACCTGCTGGGTGTCCCGCCTGGGAATCCATCACCCTAGGAGTGTCCAGCCCTTAGAACCCCATCCTGCTGGGCATCCAGCCTGGGGACTCCGTCCTTCTGCATGTCTAGCCTGGGGACTACTGTCCTAGGGGGTGTCCAGCCCCACGGACCTCCCTACATTGCATGTCCAGACTGGGGAATCCTGTCCTAGGGGTGTCCTGCCTTGAGGACCTTGCCCGACTGGATGTCCTGATCCCAGCTCTAGGGATGCCCAGCCCTTGAGACCTCACCCCATTGGGTCCCCATCCCCAGGGACCTTACCCCACTGGGTGTCTGTACCTGGGGACCTCACCCGCTGTGTGACCATCCCCGGGGACCTCACGCCTCTGGATACCTGTCCCTGGGGACCTCACCCCACTGGGTGCCTGTCCCCAGGGACCAGCACTCCAGCCTGTTGCCCCTGACCACTCACGTTGGTCCCCTCAAACATGCCTTATCTCCGTGGGACACCCCGGTGCCACTTCCCTATCCCTCTGCCAGGGACACCCCGGCATACTCCCACCACAGCTGCACAGAGATGTGGACCTTCTCAGTGCCGCCCAAAGCTGTGTCCCCAAGTCAGGACCTCTTCAGTCCCCTACACAGGGAGGAATCCCACCACCCTCTTACCCCACTAGGCTCAGGGATGCTGGGGGCCGCTCCAGCCCTGGGGACCATGGGCTCCCTGAGGATGTGTGGCCCCAAAGTTGACAGAGGGAGCCTGGGCCTCCGCAGGAGGATGGCCATCCTCCCCCAGCCTTGTGGGCACCGTCATTCCCCCTGACCGCCGCCCTCCGTCCTTTCCCCAGCTTGAGGAGGAACAGCAGGGCCTGCAGAAGAAGCTGAAGGGCACAGAGGATGAGGTGGAGAAGTACTCCGAGTCTGTCAAGGAGGCCCAGGAGAAGCTGGAGCAGGCGGAGAAGAAAGCTACAGATGTACGTAGACGCGCCAGCAACTCCTCCCCCGCACGGGTGCTGGACCTCGGGGCGGGGGGGTGGTGAAGGAAGAGGGGGGCCTTATATGGAAAGCGTCCGTGGGGAAAACTGTCAGGACCCCATTCCTGCGACACCAACACTGAACCAGGCTGAGATGTAGGGCAGGGATCAGACAGATCCTGCTCAGGGTGCAGGGACCGGGACAGCCATGGTGGGCACCACTCGTGTGGCTGGTCCTGCCTGGAGCTTTGTGGGCAGCCACCTGTTTGGATCCCCAGAGCTAAAGGGGATGAGTGTCCCAAGCTGCGTCGCTGGTCCACAACGCTTGTA